CTGCAGCTGAATGAATGGTCACGAAATTTATGACGTCATTAAATTCTGCTCACCTCCTGATCTTCGCCTTGTTCAAATTTCTTCCGGGAAAACAATGTTTCAACTCTTCATCAGACAAGTAAATTTTCAGGGATAATGAAAATTGTAGAGTTGGACAGGGTTGAAAAGTGTTCTTTGATTACAACTCATCGTTTTCACGCAGCCGGCATGGCGAGATCGGCGTGTGGATGTTCTTGTGTTGGGGAGGGGAGGAAATTGGGTTAGGTTGTGGGCATTGATCAGGGGTCAGGTACATGGAATGATAATTACTCTTATTTGCACGTAGCGAACGACTATTTCTAGGAAATAAGGACGATGTGCGATCACCACCTGGCGTCGGGAATCGGCCACGGAAGTCAAAGTGCTTGTGCTAGCGCCTTCTGACAACACAACACTGGATTCGTTAGTTATATAGCCATTGCTTCGGCTGTTGCAAGTACGCGTTCGCGTAGGCACCTGGAAAAGTTAGCTGGTGCCCAGTAGACAACCTTAAAGGCTTCATTATTGTCGTCTTGATGATTCCTGTCGACAAGGTGTGCGAGAATAGAACTCGAGATCAATCTAGTTTCACCTTTACTTAACCAGGCCGATATATGCTCACTTACCCTCGTTTCCAGTTGTAATCAAAGTACACATAGTAACCTCGTCCAACTTTGCAATTTTCATTATCCCCGCAAATGTACTGGCCTGATGGAGAGGTAATAAAACCATATGCTTGCCAAATCCACTTTTCAAATTAGATATATATTTTTGTTTACAGTCCCAAATATGTGGTGTGATAAAATAAAATACCTTCACCCAAGTTCATTACTGTGTTTTTTGGCAAAAACCTTCCGAAAGTCTCCAAAAATATCATTCTGCTGACATGGGCTTTCAGATGAATTTCGTTTTCTTAAGATCAGATTTTACCATTCCATAAAGTATGTATTTGGAAACATTCTTGCTTATGTTGGTGTCGTTTTATAGCAGTACGTACAAAAACAAGAGGTAGTGTTCTATCATAGCATGAAAATTCGGCAATCTCCAATTTCGCCAGAATCCTGTCTGTTTTCCTTAAATTTAAAAAGACCGAACATGCCTTTTGTTTTACTAAAGGACTTTCCGGGAGCATCAAATCCACTCAACCGATCAAAATTGCAAGTCTACATGTAGACTCAGCTCGATTTTAAATCACGAATTAGCTTGAGTAATGAGGCCGCCTACTGTACTGTCCTTTAACAAGGCATTTTATATCTTTCTTATAGGTAAAAATGCACATTCGGTCGCCGAGTGACTTTGAGTGGTTGAAACAGTCGCGTTTCTACTTCCTCGAGGAACTGGACGTCTGTGCGGTGAAAATCACGGATGTCGTTTTCGTTTATCAGAACGAGTTTCTTGGCTGTACAGACCGGTTGGTGATCACTCCATTAACTGATCGGTAAGTCCTGCGCTCAAAACCAAGCAACTTAAGTGGACGAACGATAGGTGCATATACACACCTGAGCTTGTTTTTTGTTGTTGAAATAGACACTACACATATGTACAATTGCCTAAAGTTCGGGTAAGGTCGATGTTTGCTCAATTTTCTAGCAATTTCCTTACCACTTAGAAGCGTATTCTGTATAGGAAAATGAATTTTTACACATTGGGCTGATCAGAAAAATCCACAGGATGAGCTAGCTTTCCATCGTCACATTTCAGGAGCTACGCCACCTACTGCACATTCTGTAACAGACACCTTTTCGATTTTATTTTTTCTACAGGTGCTATATCACACTGGCACAAGCCCTAGGTATGTCTCTGGGTGGCGCGCCCGCGGGTCCTGCGGGCACCGGGAAGACGGAGACCGTAAAGGATATGGGGCGTTGTCTGGGCAAGTACGTAGTCGTGTTCAACTGTTCAGATCAGATGGACTACCGAGGCCTGGGTCGCATTTTCAAAGGACTGGCTCAGTCCGGCGCATGGGGCTGTTTCGA